AGGTTTTGACTTTGGAATTTGCCCTGGATTCCCCCCCGCCCCCCTCCCCCCCAGCCCTGCCATTAGGTCAAGTGTATTTTTCGGGGCAGGTACCAGCGAGTTGCAGCCATTCTAGCCCTCTGCTCGCGCTTTCCTGTAGCACCGGTGAATGAAACACGTCTTTTAACGCGTCTTTTAGCACCTTTACGTCGTTCATCAACAAACAGTCCCTATTTTGAATTGCTTTCCTAGGAGCCCTGGCCTTTGAGGTCCCCACAGCACCATACAGTAGACAAAAAAGGATTTATCCCAGTTTTAGTAATAGGATCCTGAGCTCAGTGTGGTGCGGGGGTAACACGGTGGATGAAAGCCTCCGTTGCGCTCCGTCAACTTCGGGAGCTTAACTGCCTTTATAACACCTAACTGCGGTACACAGAGGCTGGTGCGCTCTCCTTGGAGGGACTAAGTTCCCTGAGGGCAGCTTAGGTACTCAGCAAATGCAGACTGAAGGCATAATGGCACCAGGATCAGGATCTAGAGCTTGGGTGTTCTGGTCTCAGGGCCTCACGTTGTCCGCAGCTGTGGCTGTTAAACAGCAGCACATCGGGACATTTCTCATTCAGCCACTGAACTTATTTTGTTTGCAGAAGAGAAAAGAGTCCAGTTAATTGCAGCCCCCAGTAAATGAAAAGCTTTTACACAGAGAGGATGGCAAGATGGTGCTGTTAGACAGATTTAGGACACAGGGAAAGAAAAGCGTAGGTTTTCCGGGCATGTCTGCTTGGAATTCATCCTGGGTTTGCCCTGGATGAGTCTGTGCTGGGATGTTTCAGCATTACATGGTTAAGCCCACAAGTGGGCTGCCTGGTGCTGCCTTGGGGGCTCTGTGCCCACCTCCATCAGCGAGGACCTCTTCTCTCCCCATCCTGTCACTGCAAATCCCCCCTCCTCCCAGCTGGTCAGTCTCCTGATGGATCCTATCAGAACTTAAGAGCTTTTTATCTCCACCTTCAGTGAAATAATTCACCAGGGCACACTTAGTAAGTTTATTAAATGATTGAGTGGATGAGTCAGAGAAATAGAAATATTGGGGTTTATCAGCCCAAGGAATGGGGCTTAGCCTGTAGTATAAAGGATTTGAATTTGTTGTAATTTAAGAATATCTTGACTGTTAAGTTTTGGATGAACTATGAGTGAAAGCTTTGGGATTCTGTTCTCAGGAAGTTTTTTTGCCAGACCTGAGTAGTTTAACTTTGGCCCTGCCTAGAGGCAGCAGGTGGACTTCAGATGATCTAGCATTTCCGAAAATCCCTTTCTTAAGACTTCTGTGGTTTTTCTGACAATATCCAGTATTATCAAGCAGGTACATCTGTAATGATTTGTTTAATGAAAGTATTTAAAAATCCATTTTTTAAAAGTTTTTGAATGTTTATTTATTTTTGAGAAAGAAGAGAGCAAGCAGGGGAAGGGCAGGGGGGGACAGAATCCATGCTGACAGCAGAGAGCCCTGATGTGGGGCTTGAACTCAAGAACCAGGAGATCATGACCTGAGCTGAAGTTGGACACTTAACAGACTGAGCCACCCAGGTGCAGATTAAAAATCCATTAAAAAAAAACTTGCAGTGTAGAGTAGTGGTTAAGTGCAGGTACTCCACAGTCAGACTGCCTGGGTTTAAATCCTGCCTTTTCACCACCCTCCCCCTCCACCCTGCCTCTTGTTAGCAGTGTGACCTTGGAAAATGATTTAATCTGTGCCTCAGTTTCTTCATCTGTGAAATGGGAGTAATGATAGTATGACCCTTGTAGGACTTACAGGACTGTCATGAGCATCAAATGACAGATCAAGAAAAGCACACACACACACACACACGCACACAACGAGGTAACACCTCGCAACTGTCAGAATGGTTAGACTAAAAAAGACAAGAAATAACAGGTGCTGACCAAGATGTGGTGCAAAGGGAAACTTGGTGCCCTGTTGGTAGGGGTGTAAAGCAGGGTTGGAAAGCAGTGTGGAGGTTTCTCAAAAAATTAGAAGTAGAAATGCCATATGATCCACTACTGGGTATTTACCCAAGAAAATGAAAACACTAATTTGAAAAGATACATGCACCTCTATGTTTACTGCAGCATTATTTATAATAGCCATGATATGGAAGCAGCCCGAGGGGCTGTGTGTATGTATGTATGTACGTGTGTGTATGTGTGTGTATGTATGTGTATATATATGTGTATATATATGTGTATATATATATGTATATATGTATACATATATATGTATGTGTATATATATATATATATATATACGCATACATACACACACATACATACACACACACACACTCAGTAATGGAATATTACTCAGCCAAAAAAAGAATGAAATCTTACCATTTGTGACAACATGGCTGGACCAAGTGGGCATTATGCTAAGTGAAATAAGTCAGACAGAAGAAGACAAATCCCATATGATTTCACTCCTAAGTGGGATCTAAAAAACAAAAATGAACAAACAACCAGACTTTTAAATACAGAGAACAAACTGGAACTTTCCAGAAGGGAGGTGGGTGGATGGGGGACGGGTAAAATAGGTGAAGGGGATCAAGACATACAAACTTCCAGTTATAAAATAATTAAGTCATGGAGATGAAATGCACAGCACAGGGACTATGGCCAATAACATTGTAATAATGTTGTATGGTGACAGATGGTGACCACACTTATTGTGGGGAGCATCGCGTAATGTATAGACCTGTCCAGTCACCGTGTTGTGTACCTGAAACTAATATAACATTGTATGTCAACGACAATTAAAAAAGCACACACAATGTTTGGCACGTTTTAAGTGTTCAATAGTGTTAGCTGTCACTGTTTTAAATAACAAATCCCTGTAATGTGTTCTTGTCTGTTTGCGGGTTTGGATTATTAATGTGGCAGAAATTGAGAAGGATAAGCTTAAAGTTATGTGGCATTGAGTAATAACCAGATGAAGACTTGTCAGAAGGAGAGATAAGGGA